GTCAAAACTGAGCGTGGTCCACCTCGTCCAGCCAGGAGGCGGGGCCGGCAGGGAAGTCGGGGTAGCCACCGCTGCTCCCCGTGGAGAGGTCAGAGCTGGGTCCATTCCCTGCCAGCACCCTCATGGGTGGGGGCCCACCTGGGGCTCCCGAGGGCAGGAGGCCCAAGCTGGCATCCGGGTACACCAAGCTGGAGAGGAGGGGCTGGGGGCCGGGGAGGCTCTGCAGGGCAGCAGGCGATGGGGGGACGCCGTAGGGGCTGCCGGGGCGCAGCTCTCGGTACTGCTCCGGGCCGGCCAGGCCTCCGTGCTCCAGCGGGAAGCTGCCTGGAGCCCCCGAGGGCCGGCCCAAGGCTGGGGCAGGCTCTCCCAGGCTGCCGTAGAGGCCGTTGGCAGGGCCCATTTCGACCATGGCTGGCTCATCTGCAGCAGAAGCAGAGGGCACTGCTCGGTGCCCACCGTCCGCCACCTCTGGCCCCGCTCAGTGCCCCCTGCAGGGGTGACCTGCCCCACGCCACACGACAGCTCAGCCCAAGTCTCTCACCCCTTCCACCCCTGAGCCTGTTCAGCTCAATCCCACCCGATGCCTAAGGAATGGTGGGCTCCCCTGGTGGGATCAAGGGCCAGGAATAGTCTAGTCAGCGCCCAGGGCTCCAGTACGATCCCAAGGTTGCCCAGTTACGCAGACAAGTTAAGTCCCAGAGAGGCTAGGTGAGTAGCTTAAGGTCACAAATGCTGCCAAAGAGTCTCTTGCACAAACTTTCTGAGGATGGACATTAAGGGGTGGGGGGGGGGGTCTTCTTGGTTTGGGAGGAGATAATCGGTTTCCAGAGAGGACCCTCCCCCAACTCCAAGCAGCTCGGACTTTTCATCACCCCCAAATTGTGCTGCCACCTTCCTAAAAATCATTGCAAGTGCCTGGGGTCAAAGACACCGTCCACACCCTCCCACCAGGACAAAGCCTGCTGAGGGACAGGCCCTCGGGTCACAGGGGTTCTGTCCCCCTCCAGAGGAACAGCAGTGGTCCTCAGTGGCCAAACCACAGGGCTTGGGGATGGGGACCAGGGTCTATAAACGAGTGCTTTATAGGTGACGCTAAAGGGGCCAGGACCCAGGACCTTCAAATTCCCAGGCTCCCTGC